CCCCTCCGGATGGCAGCCTGCGGCAAGTGCAGCCGGGCTGATGGCTGAGTGCTGTGATGTGCCGAGTGTGGGCACTCAGAGCACTCCAAGCCAGGACTGTTTTGCAAGCGGGGAACCCCTGAGAACTGTCTGTCCGGGGTGGGAGTCGGGTCCCTTTAAGCACAGTCCTCGGCTAGCCTGAGACAGCAGCTCCACGCTCTAAGTCCTACTCTTATGCCCTGCCGGCACTGCTTCCGGCCATCTTTAACCTCGGTTCAGGGTCCACTCAGTGTGGACATGCTAGTTCGAATTAGCAAAACGCTAATTCAAACTAGTTTTTAAGTCTGGATGCACTAGTTTGAATTAGCTTAGTTCGAATTAACTAGTTCGAATTAGCGCTGTAGTGTAGACATACTCTTACAGAGGAGCTGAAGAATCCCACAGACAGAGGAAGTGAAATAGGACTAAAATCAAAACAACATTTAAAGCAGACAATTCACACACAAGTTCTTTCCCCTCCCAGGATCTCCTAGCTCTAAGTAGCATTGCCAGTGATCCCTCATAGAGGGTTAACAACATCCCTACCTGCGGCAAAGTACTGCAGAGTGAGGAACAGCAGCCAGTTCTCTGCTCCTGGCTTAGCTTCTTCCAGCTCACATAGGCCTTAAAAAAAAAAAGCATCTGCTCTGCCTGCTTGCTCATGCAGTCTGACCCCAAACTACCACCCCCAACTCCAGAAGCTTCTGAGTGGAGGGCTGAATCACCAGAAGCTTCTGGGTGGAGGGCTGAATCAGCCAAGTAACACTCAACTCACTCCTACCTCCCCCACAGGGGTCTCTTAAAGAGATCGCTCCCTATTAAGTGCATGGGTTACACTGGGACACCAGTAGGTGTTTAATCTGCCAACACACCTCAAACCTGGTATCAGTAGGGAGAGGGAATTTAACACAGCAGATACCCAAGGTCTACTGCTGGTTTTTAGCTAGTGCTGTCCATTTATCTCATCTATTAGCACCACTAATTAGTTTATTTTCTGTTCACTCCTCAGCAAACCATACCTCTGTCATCATGTCGGTCAGCGTCCACGAGAACCGTAAATCCCGAACGAGCACCGGCTCGATGAATATCTTGCTTTTCCACAAAACCTCCCACCCAGATTGTGTCCTGTCCCATCTCAACACCTTCCGGAAGTGCTGTATGTTCACCGACGTCACCCTCTGGGCTGGGAACAGATCCTTCCCATGCCATCGGGCTGTGCTGGCCGCCTCCAGCAGATATTTCGAGGCCATGTTCAGCAACGGCCTGCGGGAGAGCCTTGATGATGAGGTGAATTTCCATGACAGCCTCCACCCAGAGATCCTGGAGCTGCTGCTGGACTTTGCGTACTCCTCCCAGATCATCATCAATGAGGAGAATGCAGAATCCCTGCTGGAGGCTGGGGACATGCTGCAGTTCCATGATGTCCGAGATGCAGCAGCTGAGTTCCTCGAAAAGAACCTCTACCCTTCCAATTGCCTGGGCATGATGCTTCTCTCGGACGTTCATCAGTGCCGGAGACTCTACGAGCTGTCCTGGAGGATGTGCCTGGTCAACTTTGAAACAGTGCACAAGAGCGAGGACTTCAACAATCTCTCCAAGGACACTCTGCTGGACCTGATCTCCAGTGATGAGCTGGAGATAGAGGATGAAGAGAAAGTCTTCAGAGCTATCGTTCAGTGGGTGAAGTATGACTTGGATAAGCGGAAGTCACATCTCCCTGAGTTGCTGCGAAATGTGCGTTTGGCCTTATTACCTTCTGAGTGCCTCAAAGAAGCCATGGCGTGTGAGGACCTGATCATGGCAGATGAGAGGAACAAGCTCATCATGGATGAGGCCATGCATTGCAAGAAGAAGATCCTCCAGAATGATGGGGTAGTCACCAGCCCTTGTGCCAGGCCCCGCAAAGCTGGGCACACCTTGCTGATCCTGGGCGGGCAGACCTTCATGTGTGATAAGATCTACCAGGTCGATCAAAAGGCAAAAGAGATCATCCCCAAAGCAGATCTGCCAAGCCCCAGGAAAGAATTTAGTGCCTGTGCCATTGGCTGCAAAGTGTATGTCACTGGGGGGAGGGGCTCGGAGAATGGGGTCTCCAAAGACGTCTGGGTGTATGACACTGTTCACGAGGAATGGTCCAAAGCTGCCCCCATGCTGATAGCTCGTTTTGGGCATGGCTCTGCTGAACTGGAGAACTGCCTCTATGTAGTCGGTGGGCACACTGCGGTGGCTGGTGTCTTTCCAGCATCTCCCTCTGTTTCCTTGAAGCAAGTAGAAAAGTACGACCCTGCTTCCAACAAATGGACCATGGTGGCCCCTCTAAGAGATGGAGTCAGCAACGCTGCAGTAGTAAGCGCTAGGCTGAAGCTTTTTGTCTTTGGCGGGACCAGCATCCACCGGGACATGGTGTCCAAGGTCCAGTGTTACGATCCTGTCGTAAACCGGTGGGCGATCAAAGCGGAATGCCCCCAACCTTGGCGCTACACAGCTGCCGCTGTTCTCGGCAGCCAGATTTTCATCATGGGCGGGGACACTGAATTCACAGCTGCGTCCGCCTACCGCTTCGACTGTGAAACGGACCAGTGGACACGTATTGGAGACATGACTGCCAAGCGCATGTCATGTCACGCGTTGGCCTCGGGGAATAAGCTTTATGTGGTGGGGGGGTACTTTGGGACGCAGAGGTGTAAAACACTGGATTGTTATGACCCTACATCAGACACGTGGAACTGTATTACCACAGTGCCGTACTCACTCATTCCCACAGCTTTCGTCAGCACATGGAAGCACTTGCCAGCGTGAGCAGCACTGGCTTGGGCCCAGATTTCAGGCATTTAACCAGGTAAGATTTTATGTATTTTTAACCTAATCCATCACCTCAACCACCTAAAATCTGCATCCATGCTCCATGTGAAGACCGGTGGATCTAGACTTGCCCCTGGGAACATCATTTCCCTGCCTTTACATTCGAAACAGAGGTGTAACCAGATAGAAGGCTAAGCAGGCCCCGGCTGTTGTATATTGATACTCTCAGCTTTTATACCATAATTATTTCAAGGTGGCCCCTTCAGTCTGTTGGAGGCTGGGTGTGCAATCCACCCGCTTGTGTCCCAGAGCGAGACAGAGAATACGTTCCAATTATAACTCTAATAGTTCTTGAATTCAACACCTTCTGGTGGACCAGATGTCACCAATGGTAGCGAGACAGAGAATACGTTCCAATTATGACTCTAATAGTGCTTGAATTCAATACCTTCTGGTGGACTAGATGTCACCAATGGGTGGATTACAATCAACTGATCGACCCTGAGGACCCCAATTGACTGTGAGGGGCTTGCCCCAGCCCCATGCCACTGGCCATTCCCAGGAGCAGCCAGCACAGCAGGGGGGGGCAGAGAGTGTGTGTGCAGAGGGGGGGGGGCAGGAATCTCTGGTCGCAACTCCTGCCAGCAAGCACTACCTCCCTCGCAGCTCTGATTGGCCAGGAAAAGGAAACTCTGGCCAATGGGCACTGAGGGGGCGGTGCCAGCAGAGAGGGGCAGCGCGAAGCCATGTCATGTGTTCCCCTTGTCCTCCGCCGCCCCGAGAGGTGCATTGACCTCTTCTGTGAGTGATGTGGGGCTGGGACAGGCAGGAAGCTTTCCTCAGCCTTCCTGCACTACTGACTGGAAGCTGCCAACGGTAAGTACTGCCTGGCGAGAGACTGCACATTAACGCCTAGCCCCCTCCCATAGCCAGCATCCCATGCCCCCTCCTGAACAGCATTCCTTACCCCAGCAATCCATATCTCTTCCTGAACACCAACCTCTTGCCCCAGCCCTGAGTCCCTCCGAGAGCCAGTACCCATACCCCCTCATGCACCACAGTCTCCTACCCCAGCCCTGACTCTCCCCCAAGCCAGCACCCATATCCCCTCCCATATTCCACTCCCTCTCCTGAATACCAGCCTCCCATCCTAGCCTGGTGACAGTGAGTGAGGGTGGGCGGAGAGAGCACAATGGAGATGAGGGGATGTAGTGAGCAGGGTGGGGCTTTGGGGAAGGGGCAAAGCCTTAGGGAAAGGGCAGGACAGATCTTGGACTGCCCCTAAATTCAGAGACTGACCTTGGACATAGAAAGGTTGGGAACCACCATGGTAGACACTGAAAGGCATAGATCACACTGAAGAAAAGCATAGTCTATGCCCCGTGCTGGACATCTGGGTAATTATTTGATGCTGATAGGTATTAAAGTAACGTATCCTTTGGCATGCTGGGAGGGAGGGCATGAAATGTCAGTGAAGGTAAAAGAATTCTGTTGTGTGTATCGCTCAATGGGCGGAGAGGAGAAGCACAGATGCCATGACACATTTCCAGAGGCCAGATGTAACTTTGACACCCAAATTGTTCCCTGTCAAATCAAAAGCCACCTGATGCCTGTGTGAAACCTGAGTGGGAGGGAAAGGGATGTAATAACCCAAGGAAAAATCCATTTGCTGGGCTTCTGTGTGGGTGCAGGGATGAATGGGCAGGGGACAGGAGATGGATACTCAACATAAATGAAAATGCGGGTTTTTTGGTAAACGTGTCACTGCTGAAATTTTCAGTGGTTGCACATTTACACGTGGGGGGAGAGTTGCTCGCGGGCATCCCTGCTTAAACACCCGCTCCCTGCAAGCACCGGCTCCTCCCTGTTCCCCGCCTCTCCCCCCACTCTGCTGTCTCTAATACAGATTCAGAGGCAGCACTGTGGCAGGGTGGGATCTTGCGTGTAACCATGAAGGTTAACTGGCTCATTGGTTAATCGTTTAAATGTGTCCACTACTGCATCCCTAATTCAGCTCCCAGTACCTAAATTCTGAGGCTGTTTTCCCCAGATGGTCAGAGTAACAGGGAAAGCACTGTTTGAAATGAGGAGCAGTGGAAACTTGGCCAGGAAACCTGGCATCTGGCTCCCACCCACTCATCTGCAGTGGGCCATTTGGCTAATGTGTCAGCTGCAAAATTTGGCCAATTATTTAACCTTAAAATCACCTACCCTGTGGATATCAACATTTGCTCAATCTGTGCGAGGAGGCGGCTGACTGGTGGAAGGTCAAATCCCTCCCAGTGCATGTGATGAACCACGTATTGGTCTAGACACCTCTCCCTGGGGAATAACATCGACTTTGCACGAAATCTAGCACTACCTCTGCAACTGAACACACAGATTCCTCTACCACTGGGATGCATGCGACCTTGCACATGAGGCTGGAAGCTTGCTAAGAGCCACACGAAAGAACTGGGCAGCATCCCCTGGGGCGGGTGGGAGATTGGCAAGCTTCCACTATAGGATTTTCAGCCCAAGGAGGTGGATGCACTGAAAGCCACCTTTTATTTTAAAGTCCATTTTACATCTGGAGGAAAGAATGATGCCCAAGTCTGTAATGCCTTCTTGCCTCCCTGCTCCCAAGTGTCACAGATGTGTCAGGAAGAAAATGCAACAGGATAGTATTACAGCAGCCTTCCAATGTTTTTCCTTCAACTTTCTCTGCCTGTGCAGGTGGCATCAAAGGAGGAGCTGCTGGCACTTTCCTGTACATTTTTCCGAACTTGCCTGCTTCCTGCTTTTCACAGACATTTGGTGCATGATAGAAAAAGCATCCAGAACACTGGGCTGCTGTAGGATTTTGAGATGGGTCTGGCTTTGACATGGCTGCACTGTTTGTAGGGCACAGCAAGGATGTGAGGGGTTAACATGGGATTGTACTGTGTATTCCCTGCACTGAATGATAATGGCTTTCCAAATACCCTCGCCTCCCCTCCCCACTCCTCTTCATGGGTTGCCTAGCATCTGTTGTGGTGGCTCAGTAATCTAATTAACTTCCACTCGGCTATTAAATATTGCAGCAAAGAGTAGGAAGACTCCATCATTTTGAGCTCGGGGCAATGGGGCCTCCCCTCTCGACCCATCCTAGAGCTGAAAATTAATTTTCTCGGTGAGCTGGTGAACAATAAATCTGCACGCCAGCTATTCAAGGGAGAACGGGGCTGGAGATTCTCAGGGGTGGAGTCTGATGCTTTGACTACTGAATTCTATTTTGCTCACATTTAAAGTTCCCTGGATCTCTGCAAGGGATGCGAATTTATACCCTGCATATCCCAGAACCGCTAAAGAGGACCGTGTTCTTTGTGATTTTTTTTAAAAGTTAAATTTAAAACTTTCTAGACAAAACATTTTATGGTTTAAACATTCCCCAATTGTCCGCAATCTCAAACTAATCCATGAAAACTAGGAAATTGAAATTGACTAGCTTGGCCATACTAGTCAAGATGAATGATTTGTAAAGTTAATGTAGAGAATTAAATGTTTTTGGCTTTGTGACGTCTGATGGATTATTAGTCACCAAAAGAAATAAGACATTCAAAAGTGCAGGCGTGCTCACCAGATAGTGTCTTTTCCCTGATGTATTTTATCTTTTTCTATCCCATTTTTTTAAACTAATTTGTCCTGGGTTTCTGGCAGCTCCTTAACTAAAAGCACTGAGAGTTGAGAGTAAAGCCCATCCTGGAGCAGGTTTGCCCTGCATGTGTCCCTCGCCATGCATCAGATGCACAGCTTGCCCTGATCTGTACTGGGCCCTCAATAAAAGTTGGGAAAGATGCTCTGGGAGTGGATCTCAACATAATTGGATCTAGAATGCTGATTAAAAATCTGGAGAGGCTCTCTCCAGGAGATTACATGCATTGCTCCATACTCCCGCTGAGAGTGTAGAGGGAGGCTGTCAGAGGAGTCAGTTGCAGCTTCCAGAATTGGGGATTCTTTGTTGCCCCCTGCCCCAATGTAGTTTAGGACAGTTGGGGTGGAGAGTGGGGGTTGCTGTAAAATAAGCCAGCTGCCTGTGGCCCCTAAGCAGGGGTAGCCAGAATTCAGCCTCCTTCTTTTGCACCTCCTCTGAATTCTGAGTCTCCCTAATGCTTTCTACACTGCAGGGAGCAGGGTGTGGCTGTAGGGGGTGAAGGGCTGGCTTTGCTGGCTCACTGGGAAGTGCAAGGGACCTCCAGCTGCGTCTCATTCCCTTTGCTCTGCATGGGCAGGGCAGGCTGGATCATCTGACCCATTCTCTCCTGAGAGCTGTGTTCAGAGTCACTTTCTGATTTTCCATAGTGGGGAGAACCAGACACCCACTAGGGTGGCCAGGTGTCCGGTTTTGAACCGGACAGTCCGAAATTTGAGCTTTCTGTCCAGGAAACAAATTGAGAAAATACCAGACATATAAATGTCTGGTATTTTCTAATTAAGTAAGTTTTATTATTATTATGAGTATCAGTATGTAGTTCCATGCTGCCTGGCTCTTAGACATGCTCACACTGCGTGAGTGTGTCTATCCGCCATGTAGTATGCAACTACATAGTAGAGAGGAGGGGGGCACGGATGGAATCCCCAGGGCCAGATGCGCCCATGCATCCCGCTGGGACCATGCGTGGGACGGGAAGCACCTCAGGATCTGCATGCTCCCAGGCCAGCCTCGCTCCCCCCCAGCTGGTTCCTCCCTGGCTAGCCCCACTCTCCCTACCCCCCTCCCGGCCAGCCCCACTCCCCTCCCAGACAATCTCCCCTCCCCCATCTGAGATCAGGTGTGTCCAGTATTTTTTTGAAACCATAACCCTAACACTCACAGACATAATCCTTTTGAATTTCTGGGGCGTTTTGGCTCTGTCACCTCTCTGTAGCAAGAAGTGCATGAGTACCTTGCCTTGTTCATCTAGATGGGTAGTTGTTAGTGATCCTCTGGGCGCGCAATGTGCTTCCTCCACTGTCAAACACAGTTGATTTAGGGGAGTAAAACCAAGCCCAGACATCAAACCACTGCCAGCGTGGGGGCATGAGCAGTTAGTTCACCTGCACATGGGCGCCACTCCAGATCTAGTCTCATGTACTAGAGATTTAGACAATTTATTTTATTGCATATTGAAATAATAATGATTAAAAGTTCAAATTATATTAAAAATGCCTATGTACATATTTTTTTTGTAGAAGTAATAATGAAATCTGTAATGTGTGTACTTCAGTGTAAAATATAGAGCTATACATATATAGGCTCCACTCCTGCTCCATTTATTTGAAGTAGGTGCTGCAAATAATCACGCCAGCCCTGCATCAAACCCATAGCTCTTGCATGGGTTTTTAAAGCATGAGCACCAGGCTTTTTAAGCACATGTCAAAACAGGAGCTGGAATGTGCTGACACACGAATGGGAGCTTTTCAAAGGCAAAAATGGAAGTTCGGGGCCTAACTATGATTTTCAGTGGGACTTGAGTACTTAATGGCTGTTTATACCTTTGAAAAGCTACTCAAAAAGCCTGATCCAAAGAAGCTCCAACCCCACATTAATTTAAAACCCAGCAACAACAAATGAAACCATTTGTTTCCTGCAGAAGGGCTGGCCTCCGATATGGCCATGTTTAAGCCCGGGGTGGTTTGCATTAGCTCGCCTTTCAACGAGCATCTCCCTGCCCCCTCCAAGAATACAGTGTGACATTAATTCAGTGCTGAGCACATGAAGTAATTCCAGGGATCAACCATGATTAGCAGCTTTAAAAGCAAAAGCCTAATCTCTCCCACTGCACAGCCCTACAGCTGATTTGTGTGCCTCCTGTGTCAGTGACCCATGAAATAATAGGCTTTTGTCAGTGCCATGGGGAGAAGGGCTATGTAGACATGGGAGCTGCCCCCATCCTGTTTGGTCTTTCTTCAATAAGATTTAATCAAGTACTTTACTTCTTCTCAGACAAAACTCTCACCTTTCCTCTTCCCCTCTCCGCCTCTTCCTACGCTTATGGAAACTTTCATATTAAACACATCAAATAAGGCAACATAAAATTGGCTTAGCCAATTTTTGGCACTTCTACAGGAATCCTATCATGACTAGCAGAATCAATGCAAAGAGACAAATGCAAACTCCAAAAACTTCCACTAATAAGGCAGTATAAATGCAAATCAGTAGCTGGGTTAACTGCTTAGGACAGTGGGCTAGACTGGAAACAGAGATCAAGCTGAGCCGCCAACATTAAACAAAAGCAACCACAAACCAGGATAGCTCTGCACCGCTATCGACAGGTAACGCCGAAAGGAGAGAATGTGTAAGAACAGGAGTCTCTCCAATCTTCTCTGTCTTTTTGGAGGCACCCTCCTGGTGGTATCTAAGTACCAGTTCAAAATCTATGCTAAAATGTAATGAATCTCACTCATAATGAGATTCATCTCTTTAATAATTCCTTCCCTAGACAATTGAATTCTATCTTAAATTATAGGATTTATTAAAATATAAGGTACTGTTCATCCCTTCTGCTCTCTCTCTGCTGGGGGCAGTGAACCAGCATATACTGTTTCACTTTATAATGAGGTGGGTTGTAGTTCTTTATCCATGGTCAGTGTTTGCATGCTGGATATTCTAGACTGACCTATTGGAACTCTTTGAGCCTCTAAAATCAATAGCTAAGGGTATGTCTACACTACCCTCCTATTTCGAAATAGGAGGGTAGTGTAGACATACCCTTAGCTATTGATTTTAGAGGCTCAAAGAGTTCCAATAGGTCAGTCTAGAATATCCAGCATGCAAACACTGACCATGGATAAAGAACTACAACCCACCTCATTATAAAGTGAAACATAGTTCGTGCCGCGTGTAGCCGCGCGGCACGGGGTTCGAACGAGCGGGGTAGTGTAGACATACCCTAAATGAACTTAATAAAAGTAGTTTAGCTACATATGGTCAATTTGGAAAAACTGGACCATACCTAAAATATTTATCCAATGCTCTCTCTGGACAAGGCCTTATTGTATCTTTAGACCAGTTCAGCAGCTTGAACTAAAGTTAACGAAGGCACAGAAAGATTTGCCAGTGACTCGTGGGGAAGCTCATTTGCATTCACTGAATTGCAAAGGCAGGATAAGCAGTAGCTGCAGCTGGCTGCTGCTTTACAAGCAGATGTTTGTCTCTGAAGCCTGTTTATCTGGCAGAGTCAGAAGGGAGTGGTTGGCCTGCAGAGCCAGGTATACGAAAATCAAGCTTTTCCTAAGCCTGGGTAGACAAAAACCTGGTCTGTTCATTCTGTGCAGAACCTGAGAGCTGGCCTCAGGCTCTATGTATGAGCCCCTTGGAAATTGTGTGGTTGGTATTTCAAGAGCTGGCTAGGGAATTATTTCCCCTCTCCCCAGAAAGTGCCCAGGCTTCTGCGCAATCACAGGCTCCCAGCGGCGTTCGTGGCCCTGAGCCTCAGAGTACGTCAGAATCACAGGCTCCCAGCGCCTTTTGGTTTTTTGCTTCACCAAAAAATAACGGGTGTCTGATTATTTTTTGGGAGACCATCTGGCAACCCTAGCTGCGAGCTGAACTTGAAGTCTTTTGGGAACACAGAGCCTATTCCAAAGGCACAGTCCAGCCGAATGCGTAGCTGTGCCACCTCCACTGTCGAATTGGCTTTGCTACTGTAGCCTCCAGCCAGAACGACTCACAACCAAACTCAAATGCACAGGTGTGACGCATGTGACCCCCCCCCCCAAATGCCATGGGCCGGAGGGGCAAGGAGCAGGCCTCTGGGCAGCCTAGGACGCTGGCAGGGAGGTCTGGTGCCTGCACAGGGGTCATGGTACCCCTCAGTCACCAGCAGCAGTGGGGTGAAGCAGAGCAACATGGCTCCACTCCCCAGGCTCCCAGCATCACTTGGGGGAGCAGCAGGACTGCCCCCCCACACACACACACAATCTCCAGAGCCGGAGGGGCAAGGAGCAGGCCTCTGGGCAGCCTAGGACGCTGGCAGGGAGGTCTGGTGCCTGCACAGGGGTCATGGTACCCCTCAGTCACCAGCAGCAGTGGGGTGAAGCAGAGCAACATGGCTCCACTCCCCAGGCTCCCAGCATCACTTGGGGGAGCAGCAGGACTGCCCCCCCACACACACACACAATCTCCAGAGCTGGGGGAATGTCATGGGCTGTAGCCACATCACTGCCCTTCACTCACTGCCAGTGAGTGTGAGAGGGTCCCATCGTCCCACCTCTGCTGCTGGCACCAATTAGTTCCTCAAGGGGCAACACTGGGAAGGAGCTGGGGGGAAGCAGCGGGGTGGGGATAGAGCAAGGGTGGGAAGAGGCCGGGGAGAGAGTGAAGTAAGGGTGGAAAAGAGGTGGGGAGCAGGTGGAGCAGGGGTGGGGCCTGGGCTGGAGAGGGGGTTGTCCAAGGCCTCCCCCAGGCTAGGAGTGGTGTGGGGAGGAGTCACGTGGGGGGCAATCATGTGACCGGTGCTCCCGGTGCCCTTCCTCACCAGTCACCCCTGAGAATGCATGTCACTCCCCGCAAGGCTGGCCTTCAGCAGAGCGTTTGTGCCAACTTCAGCGGCTTGTTAATTAAGGAAACATGTTGTCTCATGTACACACCTCCGCAAAGATGCTGTATTAGCATGTTAAGTATTTAACACTTGGCACTGGGGGAAATTCCCACTTAGCTTCCAGCGAGAGCTATACTCGCTGGGGTGAAAATGGCCGAGCAAGGCTTTGAGAGTCATGGTTGACAGTGGCATTGTACCAGAACAGTCACTCTGAGGATTAAACTTCCCTATTCTGATGGGAGCTAGGTCAGAAAATGGAACCTAACAGTTCCATTGGCTAAGGTTGCCAGACGGTTTAACCAAAAATACCGAACACTTCCCCCCCCCCCCCCCAAAAAAAACCACCAGGGAAAAAATTCTGTTGAGTGGGGGGGAAAAGTGTGTGGGGGGGGAAGAGACCAAAGTTGTTGCGGGGAAAAAAAGTTATTAAGTAAAAAATAAATAAATACAGTAGAGTCTGGATTAACCGACACCCAGAAATCCGATGCTCCATTTTATCCAACCCTGCAGCTCCCAGGGACTTTGTCCCCGGGAGCTTCAGGGTCGGATACAGCATGGGCCAGGTGCTGAGAACACAGCCCACTTGCTGCCCCATCAGCTGTTCCCTTGCTTCTTAGGAGAAGCTGCTTTCAGGCAAGAGCGGCAGCAGCAGCAGCTTCTCCTAGCGAGCAAGGGAACAGCTGCTGCCGCCTGGAAGCATGCAGGCAGGAGCAGCAGCAGCTGCTTCTAGAGAGCAATGGAACAACTGATGCTGCTCTGCGGGGACTTCGTCCCTGGCAGGAGCGGCATCATCTGTTCCGTTGCTCTCTACAGTAGAGTCTGTACCATCTGACATTCGGTAATCTGACCC